ATATATATATATATATATATATATATATATATATGTATATATAACAGCCTTCCAATATCTGCAGTCGGCAGTGGAGCTCATCACGTATGCTTGATCCTCGGATAGTCGACGGTCCATTCCTCTGCTTAGAATTTTTGCTTAAAAGCCATCTCTGTGAGAACCAAAGTTAGTCCTTGACAGTCTGTTTGCTGGACAGAACCTATAGGTAAATTCGTCGCCGTTTCATAGTCAAGCCTTCATGAAAATGAAGATGAATCTGCTACTCCAGGGTACTTAATGATGACACAGGATTCGTCAGCTTGTTTTATTTTGTCCCTATTAGTAGTAGTAGTATTAGTAGTATAACAACCATGGTTCAGTCTACCATTTTCTCATTGCTCCTCTCTTCCTTGCTTTCGCAGTCGATGCTTCTTCGGCACTGTTTTCTCCAAATGACGCAGCAACGGCAGTAGCTGCAATGGCAGCTCAGTGGAATCCTTTACACGCCTCCGCCTATGATAATGCTGCCTATCTAGCTTCAGCAGCTGGTCTCTTGCAAAACAACAACTTTCGAGTAAGAACCCCGTGCTTCATCGGTACATTTTGATATGTTGCACCGTATCGGACAGCTAGGCTCATCTTATTCACCCAATGTTTTCACTATTTCAGGCGATAATCCCCGGAACTCCAACCACATTCAGTCTATCTCCCTCTACCATGTCCAATTTCAACATGGTCCAGGCAGCCATTGCACAAGCAAACGCAGCTGCAGCTTTGGGTCACGTGGGGCATCAATCGAACGCAGCGGGTCACGGCCCAGTCCTGTCAATGTCTCCTCCACAACATCAACAACAACAACAGACGCAAATCTCTCCTGGACTGTCGGCTAATCCTACCAATTCCAGTCCCACTTCCGGGTCCAGAACATCCCCTGTGAACGTGTCTCGTGGAATGGGTATCACGTTCAGTGCAACCAGTCAGACACCTGCGCAGGCGCAAGTCAATTCGTTCGTCGCCCAACTACAACAGCAACAGCAGCAGGTTAGTAAGTCTGTTGTTGATCTGGTTGTAACGTCATCAGAGGGTGACAAGTACCAACAAATGTCTGTTTTGATGAGATGTTGATGATGAGTAAGTACAAAAGTTGTGTGCACCTGATAAAAACAAATACAGTTCAAGAGGGGAATAAGCCAAGAAGTGACTTATCGTTTGAGGACAACTGTTGAGAGTTCGTGAGTGAAATTCCGGACGCGGGACGTGCCTCCTTGGCAGTATAGCTGGTACATGTGTACCGTGGTTGGCCGTGGAAACTAGTGGAGCTTGGTTGACCTACTGTCCTGTGCGCGCGTCTTGTGAGCGCGAGTGTTTTTGGGCCCAGTTGTGTGCAGTGTGATGAGAGAGGGGGGTCCATTCGTGTTTGCTAATTGCACGAACATGAATACAACTTGACCTGATGTGGTTGAAGTTCGTAAGCCTGGAGCGTGACGCAGGTGATAGCCGCGTAAACAAAAACGGATGGAAAGTGGTGGTGTCGGCTAAGGTTGCAAGTGGGAACAGGAATTGTTTTACTTGATTTGAGTGGTTGTGACGCGTGATTTAGTGAGCGACCGCTACAAGTCCGACCCGTAGCTTGATTTTCGTGCATTTCTCACAGCAGCCCACTCGACTTCCGTTAGAGTGATCGGTTTCATAAAATTCTGTCGTTTTTTCCATCAGGTTTTCGCAACTACGTGCGTATTGCTCCAAAGCCATAACATGTGTGGACTTCTTCGTTCTCGGGAGTTATGACTAGCTAATGCCGCGAAGTCTACCAACTACAATTCTCGTAGACTTGCCATTGTTAAATGGTTGTCTATTACACAAAGAGGCATGTAGATTGGGGAACGCTAACTTTCCCTCGTTCTGTCACAGATCACAGCACACGCTGAATTCAGGCCAGAGTAAGAAAAATACAGTCCGCCAACTTGCGGCGAGTTTGTTTCCCTGTCACCGCAGCGATCACTCAAACGCGCTTCATAGTCGCTTTTCACCCAACGCTGTAACACCCAGCACTCGGTTCTCTCGAACACTGTTGCGTCCAGAAAACATCTCTTAGTTTGTCTTTGTAATGTACTACTCATAAGGTAGCTGAAAATCCGTCGACAGCCCACGACCGATTTCGCCCTTCCAGTTCGGGCTCAGGTAGGCGTAGTCCCCGGGTTTCCGCCAACCTTATGTTCTACTTGAAACCGAATTGCACGAAATTAGCGAATATACACTCATTTGCAAACTAATTTGGTTTTTCGAGAGACTCACCTGGAACCCAGCTGAATCTCTCGTCTGTGATGTTCTCAGGCAGCTGAATGTGCTGCACCAGGCCGCCCCATGTTTCANGTACATGTATCGCGATATCTCAAATACCGTAGCGACTGAAAAATGGGGCGACCTGGTGCAGCATATTCAGCTGCCTGAGAACATCACAAACGAGAGATTCAGCTGGGTTCCATGTGAGTCTCTCGAAAAACCAAATTCGCTTGCAAATAAGTGTATATTCGCTAGTTCCTTAGTTTGTTTCAGGTAAACAATCGGTGCATTCCTTAGTTTTTTATTGTTCCGAATCACCTGTCGTTAGGATGGGACAGTTCCTACTCAACAGTGAAATTCAAGAAGGTGGCCGCCTTTGGGAAACGAATTTCAAACATGATTCTACCAGCCACCAACTGGTTTTTCTGGGACGTTCACTGCGGTTTCTTCTGACCACATGCACTCTACAGTTCACATTTGCCGATATGTTCACAACTAATCGTCGATTGGGCATATCCTCAACGGTCATCTATCCCCCGTGTTGTCATTCAAACTACTTACAATCATAAGTAGAATGGTAAACCACTGTCCAGGTGATAAACCTTATTTTCCAGGAAGCCGGCAGTTGAAGATATGGTAATCTGACGGGCCAAAGATAGCCCAGCAGTTAGGACGCGAACCTATTGGCTGGAAGGTCCGTGATTCGTACCCAAACCCGGCACCTCGACTGCTCCTGTCTGGGCTTGGGCAGTCCGACAGTATCTCAGCCCTCGTGCTCCCTTCGGGTGGTATAGCAGCTATGCACCGAGAAGCTATTTATTATTACTGTTAATATTATTTTGGCGAAGATAACGCTGTATTTGGCTCGCCTAATCGGGTTAGGATCTTTCCCAGATAAGCCTTGCCAAAAAATTAACCCCCGCCACCCAAAAAAATTGGTAAAAAGGATTTGAAATTTGTACTTTTAGTTTTTATTGAAGAGGGTGGGTGAAATCGGGACATGCCATTAATAATTTTTATGAAAAGGTCCATTTTTCGGTATCTTTGCCTCCGAACGAAATCACACAAGTAGCTGTCCACTAAAGATCGGTGTGTGCTGCATTGGCGTGTCAAAGAGATTCAATGGCTTGTGTGTGAACTCTAGTCGTTGGATCCACAAAGTTTTCGGTATGATTAAGCGTTTCATGAGTATAATTCATGTTAATAATCGTTTCAATTCCTTGGTATGATACCCACATATCGGAGATGATGCATGAGCCGGAAGTGATTCAGGCCTGGATTGTGTCCATCAAAGTGGCCGCAGTCCGATCTGGCACTGCATACATGAACACCTCTTTAGTTTCGCGGCAGATCCTCACGAAAATCCACTGTTGGGGAATGACTCGCCCTGCGTGGTTTTTACGGCGAGATATTAGCGTTTCATCGATCTCGACCTGTAGACCTGGGCCGCCGATAACTGTTGGAGTCTGCAAAAGCCGCCAGGCGCAAACTTCGCGAAGAAGGTTCTTCCAATCAACAGCGGTCGTGTGGCTAATGGATAATTCCTCTGAGCAGAATTTGATTTTTGCCAACTTTCTGGATCAGCAATAAATGAATAGAATTGCTGTCCTAAACTCCATACTAGACCGCTCCAAGCCAAGTCCCCTTTCGAGGACCGATATCTTGCCGACACTGTCGGGCATTACACCTCCACCTGTCAGGAACAGTTGAAAGTGTTATTTGGTGACCATTGTTGCACAAACGTTGCTGATGGATCACTCCGTGGCTTTGCGGTAAATGTATTGCCGTCTCCTTGTCATGAACGAGTGTAGAAAGCGTCAGAAAGTTCATTTAGGGTTTGACGTCCGAACGGAGAAACGTTTTGCACAATGTGATGCTAGATGCGGATAAGGAGTTGTTTTCATCAAAATAGGTCAAGGTTATGTGCGCACATTAAATTGGAGCTGGCAAACGCAGTGAGGCTTAACTTTTCACACATACACTTTTTGCATTAGTGGTGGGGCTTATCTGGAAAAGATCCTCGTGTTACGCGGAAGCACAATCAACTGCCTTGCGTACTAATTTCCCTGAAACACCTGAATTACTTGTATGCTTCGCTTAAATGAGCGGAACTATACACCAAGACCGATCAAGTTCTACCCCCCCCCCCACTTCCTGGCGGAACGAATTCATCTGGGGCAACCAAGCTTGTCCAGTCCTGCTCTTCAGAAAGCGTGTTCATTAAGTAGTTGATATTAATCACTTGTAAGGCTATCCGACGGTGATTTTCCTCTTTTCTACATCTGCACGTCCCCTTGAGGGACATACACTCGTGTACAAATCAACAAGGAGGAAACCAGTCTGTTGAGCTTTCAGTCACCTCATGAGTGGTGTCGGCCGTCAAGGAAAACACTAAATCCTGTTTTTCGACGGCTTGTAAGCCGTTGACTACGACTTTGCCTTTACTCACCTTACTGTATCTGTGTCCATTCAACGAAGAACTTGGCTGCTTCACTTCCCACCGTCATCCATCGTCTCGTGATCCACTAATCTGTTTACTCGAGTGAAAGCAGATAACTTCTTTTTGGACTCGCTTTCTCTGAAGCAGTACGAAACAGCAGCAAAGATCGCATAAACTGTACGGTTGACTGCTGTGTCCCAATATGTGGTCGGTAGATTCATAGGTCGCGGTCTATGGCATCGGGACGAGTTCCATGAGATTCCCGGCTCGATCATTCGATGGTGGACGAGTGTGAATAGGCTGATGACACTGGTATGTTTGGTGGACCAGGTGCTCACCATTTGAGTGACAACAGCAAACGCAATTTGTATATAAGTCTGCGACCGATTCCCGGACATCGCAGTCTTTCTGAGTTTTAAAAGAAAATATCAAGAGGGCTGGGTTTTTATCCACTGCAAGGCGTTTATTCATCTGCCGTCTGTGATCTACGCCCGAGCACCAATTTCCGCGAACCGATCCACATTCTCTTGATTTCAAGCTAGTCCTCGTGAGCAGTTCAGTTAACTTTTTATTGTAAACAATGATTGCTTCAAGCACCAATCAATGTGCCGTTCCTAGTTTCAATAAGCTGGGCCGGGGGATCCAAGTTTAACAAAACAAAAGCCTGTCCAATATTTCCCCAAGTATTTCTGCTTTGTTCCAGTTGAATGAATGCTTTCATTTCAGAAGAGTCCACCCAGATGGTCTCCCTATTGTTGTCCGAACATGTTTGTTTGTTATCAACCCTTTTGTTCTACAGTCATTATTGCCAAAGCAACTGAATAGGGGAGTGGACACGAAATTGCACGTGACAGTCACGCCCTGGTGGTAATCCATTCATGCATTCGAGTGTACTTGTTTGTGCTCTTCCTATTCTCCTATTTAACTCAATAGTGAAAGGGAACTAACTCGATCGATTTTTTCCACGTGTTCCCAAGTGGTCTTAATCCAATTTGTCCATATTTAGTAGAAGTTAGCAGACGAAAAACGGGAGTTTGTCCGACGTCTAAGTTGGTGTTGAACAGGGAAAAGAGAATGAAGTCGAAAGAGAATGATATCTTTTTCGGTAAGTGACATGGAGCAGATCTTCTCCCTTTTTTAATGCATACCACACTGGTCTGTGAGGGTCTGGTACTGAATGAGTTGTATCCTCAACATGCGAATATTCCTCTTCGTTCACACTACAGTTTGAGCTGACCGTCATTCATCCGTGGTGAACACTAAGGATCTGAAGGCCGTCATACTAGCAGATTGTTGAAAGTTGTTCAGTCTGTTTTATCAGCTACGTTCACAAATGTCTGACCAGTGGTAGGTGAGCGCGAGTTTACTGACCTAAAGGTCCGTGGTTCCAACCCGACCTCTGTCTCTCGACTTTCCGCGTCTAGGCTTGGACAACCTCGCAGTATCCCAGCCCTCGTGCTTCTTTCTGGTGTCATGGTATGAACCATTAAGTTAAGTTAAGACCACGCCTAGGTCGGGAAGTATTATTGTGGATTTCACACAAAGTGTTTATTACATTTTTGTAATGTTTCACCGACCGAAATTCCTTCTCATTTGTTCAGGCCCTCGCAGCTGTTCAACTGGGCCAGCAGCAAGGCACACCATCTTCTCAGTCGCACACCACTCAGCCCCACCAACAACAGCAGCAACAACAGCAACAGTTTCACCAGGCACTGGGATTTGTGCCTTCAAGCGCTGGACTGCCACCACCTATGGCGGCCACCATAGGAATCCTCAGTGGTTATAACTCGTTGGTTAAGGAGCTTACTGGTAATGAGGCTCAACTACAGTCTGGATTACCGCCTTACCATCATCAAAATGTGAGTTAACGGTTGAAACAGCTAACAGACTTGAACCTGTGCTTTGGCGACGCAACCAATTCTAAGCGTGCAGTCCTGTTGTGACTTGCTGAACGGTCCTGCAACTTCCTGCTCCACCCAACACGATATATCAGAAGGCACGGTAGCTTCAGACAGCCCTTTATCAATAGGGTAATCACAGAACATCCCTCAAGGTCGTGTTAGAAAGGGGGCGAGAAGCATCGAGCTACAGATCCTTGATACAGATTGGCTAGCATTCTGACCAATCAGGTTCGTAGCCCGCATGTGACAATTCTGTCCAATTGACGTGCATTTCGGACAATTCCATTTCCGTTTTATGGTGGATAGACAAACACAAGATAGATGGAGCTAGTTTTTCACGCTATCCTTTATCTGCAGAAGATGCCTGGTGTGATATATTCGCCACCAACACGAACGCCAGCAACACCGGCTACTAGATGGGAGGTAGCAAATTTTACTCCCAATGGAGAATCGTGAGATCTCCAGTAAGGATCAAACAACATGGTTTACTTCTGAGCATAGACTGACTTGACTTACACCACGAGGTCTCCATCGAATATATCAAGAATAAGCATCGCTTATTCGTGCTCAAGTTAGGTAAAATTTGGTTTAATGGAACCAACATCAATGAACTCTCGTTCAGTATTTTCAGAGTCAATTCATGCTGAGTTGGTAGGCTTATTCGCGTAGAGAATACCCTGTATTCGGTTTGTGGGACTCATCAAATATTTGTGTATTCGCCTTCATTCCACAGGTGAACTTTTGAAATTGAATGCAACTCAGAACCTCTAACTCAGACTCCAACGATGGCTTGCCTTATGTTCATTCAGCCGCGTCTAAGCGAGCCTGTGTTCATCCTTCACACCGCCCCCCCCCCCCGACACAATCAACATCCGTCACTGCCACGTTTACGGATGCCCTCCTCTGGCTGTGCAAAACGCCTCGTTTTTAAGGTTGTTTTTCTTCATAACGTTTACCCTCTCTGCAAACATATCATCTTCAACCTCTTGTTTTTTTCCTTTGGTTTGTTTATCCGTATTCTTACGTAATTACTACCAGACTATAGCACTTTATGGGTGCGTCTGTTAGCTGAACTCGTCATTTTGACTTTTACTCGAATGAATCCCGTTCAGTTTGTAGTCGCGATTACTACTGTACTTTTAAACAAAATTTTGACTTATTTCCGTCCATTCCAGGCATTATGATGCCTAGACAAGAAGTGACACTTGATACCGCTTCGCATATCATCCTTTCAATTTACGTTCAAAGGTGATTTCCTCGTACATATCATTGTTTTATGTGGTTCTTGTCGATAGCAATAGTACTTGATCAGATGCAGTCAGGCCGTTCTATTTCCGTCTAAACCTCAACCCCGATAAACAATTTTGATGAAGTTTTTGACTCTTTCCAGTGTATTTTTTCTATGATAGTCAAGTCCTGGTCATTCTCTCTATTTTAAAATTGCTTATGTACGGTTCTAGCGGTTAGGGGTTTTAATTACGATGTGATGATATTCGTCACTCTGGTCGCCTTCAGCCATTTTCATGGCCTTTGTTCCCCAGCCAATTTTGCGCTCAAGTTTATCAGACGCGGTCCGACCCGCAGTTTTTTGTCATTATTGTGCATTTCTGTCTTGTTATTACATTCCATTGTTGAGCCCGCGTGCGAATCCTCAACCCTGAGTGTCTTCAAAAAGTATTTTAAATTCTACCTACTTCTAGGTTCATAAGTAGGCAAACAAAGGAAGTTATTTATACGGGCTTTGGTGAGCACATTGGTCCTGCCCTACTCAAATTTGAGATTTTGGGCTGGTGTCATCCGGCTAAGTCAAAATAACCCTGGAGACTGCTCACCGAGCACCGGAATTTAGGCTTCAAACGATGTTCAAACCTTCGTCAAGTTTTCAGTCAAAAGTGGCACATGACGCAAGTGGTAGCCGCGTAAACAAAAATGGATGAGAATTTCTAGTGTACAAGTTGTCGGCTAAGTTTGTAACTCGTGATCTGATGAGTGACCTTTACAGCATAGCGGTTGGGCACTTCTCTTTTTTTAAAGCAAGAGCCACCAATCCACTGATTACAGAAAGTCGTATTCTAAAGGCAAGTAGTTAGCTTGTACAAAACACTGGGTGGCTTTGCTCTTGTGTGCTTTAGGTCCACAAGTTTTGGACTTTCTGCATAGACTTCTAGTTTCCGAAGACTAACCTTTCTATTTTCAAATTATCGATCCTCATTTGGGTTTGAGTCAAATTTGATGAACCGTCACTGGTTTGAGGCAGCTCAGTTTATTCAGACGGTACACTCAAGTTTACTTACCACACAGGGAATGCTCAGGGTCAGGAAATTGTCTCCTCAGGTGGTTCACTTGTGTGTAACACGATGATGTCGATATTCGTCTGAGTGAGTAAGTAAGGAGACTGCCTGCAGTAGCTACTCTCTCAATCAATCGTGTTCTCGGATCTGTTCGAGCAAGGATGACTCGAACAGTGTCTTTTCATTCTCAGGGTCCAGTCATTCCGTTTTTGACTGATCACTGGAATGATCAGAAAAGCTAGGGGGTGCCAGAACTAATTGACTATGGAGCAGAACAACACCGACATTATGTGGTTGATGAAGAAGGCGCAGTACCTTTTTCATAAAAGAAACTACTCACATGGTTGCTGAAAACTCTTCGACAGCCCACGACCGGTTTCGCCCTTCCAGTTCGGGCTCATCAGGTAGGCGCAGTACCTGAGTTTCCGTCGACCTTATGTTGTACTTGAANGAAATGGTAGTGCGCTTTTCGAGAAATACACTCATTTGCAAATCAATTTGATCTTCACGAGAGACTCAACTGAATCTCTCGTTTATGATATTCTACAACTGAATGTGGACGAGAGATTCAGTTGAGTCTCTCGGAAAAACCATATGGATTTGCAAATGAGTGTATTTCTCGAAAAGCGCACTACCATTTCGAAAGTGTACATTTTCCTCAGGATTGGGAGTGGCCTTATTTTCGCAACTTATTCTCACAGTTATCGTGGTGTTCAATCACATGTGAATCTTGTTGTTAGTGCTATCATTGACGGCACTGCAATAAACATTGCATGTGCAGCATATAACAGGTAGACTTTTTTCACCCCTACTTCGATCATTCCCCCTTACTCCCCAGAGTGACGAGCGGATTTAAGCAAACCTCACGTTTCATGGAAACGGCATCCCCGAATTTCGCACAACAAAAACTCGACATAGGGTATGACAGAGTCAAAGATCCTGCTCTGAAAAGCATGTGTTTGTGAGCAGATGGCGCATGAGAGGTGGCTACACTGAATTTCTGCATCTCTATCCCCGAAACACGATGAAGGATCCCATTTCATCAAAGAGCTTCAAGTTGCCAATCAAACAAATTGCTTGATCTTCGTATTAAGGGTAGAGCTATGGATTCTGAGGGGGTTGTGAAGTTTCGTGAAAACTGAGGAACGATGAGTTATACTCAAGCCAAACTAGGCTCCCAAACTGGCCGATCATGGCTCAACAATCAGTTAACAGTTGTTGATACTTTATGCGTTTATGGTGAAGGTGTGGCCGGATCTCGAAACGCCAATTCGCACGACGACTGCTCGCGTGACTTGATAAATACGGGTTGATGAGGTCAGTCACATAAAAAAGGATTTTTAAGCTTGGTTCACATCCAACATCTAGTTGGATCCAAATCATCTTGTTTGCTGCTTATTAGACCAGTTTGTAGGACAGAAAACTATTTAGTTATGGATTTATCTATCAGATGGTCTTCAGCGACCCTATTAGTAGTGTATTACGTTTAAACAATGTATCGTGATACCTCGAATAGGGTAACATCTGAAAAATGGACTACCTGGTGCAGCACATTCAGTTGGAAAGTCTATCAGGCACGAGAAATTTGGCGGTATTCATTTGAGTCTTCAAACAAAACCATATTTGGCTGTGAATGACAGCGCTTGCCCCGACTTGGCCAGCAATCGGTCCAGCTGAACGTTCACCTCACGGCTATTTCAAAGATACAGGCACCTCAATGGTCACTTCATCAGATGCTTTCTCGAAGCTGAAAAAATCCATACAAAGGAAAACACGAATAAGTGTAGACTACTAATTTTGTGTGGTTTTAAACTATCCCGAGTAATCGAGCACACCGTGGTTGTACATTAAAAATAGTACAACTTTCGTGGGATGATATAAAACAAATAATGACTGTATTGCCTCATAAGTCATGTAAAGTAACTTGTGGTAAGCAAGCGCAGCGTTCGCGTTATCATCAAAGACCATTATCCCGGAAGCCATGCTTAGCGATGTTTGAGTAACCCTACTCAATGACTTGACAATGTGGTTAATTCAGTAATAATTAAATTAACTGGACTGGCAATTGCTAATTTGCTGGGAAATAACAATAAGCTTTCAGCCGTGACACTCTTTTGGCACCTAGGTGCCATGCCATGCCCGAAGGAAACGTGAGGGCTGAGACAAAGCAGTTGAGCTGTCGGAACCTCTGACCTTTGAGTCAATGGGTTCCCCCTCTATCCAGTGGGCTATCTTGAGCTCGATAAAAAAAGGATGACTTAACTGTGCTGCTAGTCAATCATTTTGCTATGAATGCGTTTTGGGACACTGAGAGCCATTTCAAAAGTAACTTGGTACGTCCAGGTGGATCGGATGAGAGTGAGGATAGTTCTAGGCCTCTCATACTCAGGCGCAGATTATAACCCGTAATTCTTGACGCTGAATACAGTGGCTCATCTTAATATATCGCGTAAACGGCCGAAGCAACTGGCTGGTTGACACTTCCTTCCGGTTGTCTGTAAGACTCTTAAAAGATAACACTGAGGAAGATAAAGAAGCCTGATTGAATGTCAGTCCAACGATGTTCAGTGCTGAATTGTCTGACTAGGTTGAGGAACTTGGTTGTTGGTCTGTTCGCCGAGCTTGGCAGTTGGGTTGCAAACGTTTCATCACCAACCAAGGTGACATCGTCAGTGCAGGGTTGAGTGGGTGAATTCCTCCTCTTCTGCCTGTGATTATATGGCATCTAAACAGTATCTGGTAGTTCTAAAAGCAATCTTCACGTAGTGTGATTGGCCTCCTGTGAATCTGACGTGGTCTCAATCTCCTGTGTCTGGTTGGTTTGTTGGGCGCATTCATTTCGGCGGTTCTGTGTGTGGTTGACCTCTTGTGATTCGGCCGTTTCCTTCTTGCGTTGTGGTGTGACTTTTGTTCCCTTGATTGGTTGATTCAGTTGAGGAACATTTTGACAAAAATTCGCATCAGAGCCCAGGGTACACCGGCTAGGTTCATGAAACTCACTCAGCCTCTCGTAACTGGTCTCCTTTTATTGAGTTGCTTCCTCGATAAGAAACAAATCTTAACACCAATTTTAAAAGCAAGGAGGTATCGCTTAGCGCATGACAAACCCGGGAAGTTAAAACTATCATCAGAAAGTTGAACGAGGTAGTTACAGACAGCGTTCGATAACATGTTCGGTTAAAAACTAAGTCCAATTAATTGTGCTCAATACGTTCGATATTTATCTCAATGCTGCGGTGTGGGCCCCAGTGCAGTCTTCCCTCTCGAGTCATCCGTAGGATCTTTTCCAGGACTTGTGTCTTCTAGTTTGTGATCTGTCAGTACGTTGCTATCGAATTAATACATTCTGGATTGTTGTCAGAAAACCATCAGAGGATACCGAGGTAATCAACAGCGAGAACTCCGACAACCGTCATTTGGACGCGAGTAGCAACCGAACGTCCAAAGACTCGTTCCTGATTGCACGTAAGTTGAGTTACTGTCAGGGGAACCAAAACAAGAGAGAAAGATCGGTTTCGGAAAAGTTTGGTGACAATTGGTAGATTTATTGCTGGGCAACGTTTCGCTTTTGACACAAAAGCCTCGTCAGGCTCTCGAGGTTGGTCGAAATTAAAGGCGAAAGGATAACCAATGAGCTAATTCAAGCTAAATCTCTGTTGGGTGTCAGCCGAGGGATTTTTGTGTGTTAGAATGGTTGAAAAAGTGTTGGGTTGGTGGGGAAACCTACATGTGTTTGGATCCAGCCTAGGGTCTAGTTTTCCTGGTTCGGTCCACTTGATGATTCTTCTTGAACTTCGTTTGAACCTTCTGTTAGTCTGTGTGGGTGAGCTAGTGCTGAAGGTTGTGTAGGAGGGATGCTGTGACCTTTGGTCGGTTGGGGTTTCCACCCCTACCCCCGTTTTTTCTAATGATTGACAACCACACTGTCACGTGTCAACTCGGCTTATCTAAGACCGTTTTCCATACGCTCCCCAGTTCCGCACCCTCGATTCTATTCACGCTGTGATGCTTAGTAATTTCCGCCGACTCGGCTATCAGCCGCTGTGGTGTGAATCGCAGTCCCCGTCTTGAAACTTTCACATTCTCCAGATCTATTCTATGTCCCGCGCCTAAGGCATGTACCACCATTGCTGAGCCTTTGGTATTCTTCTGCATTCCTTGGTGGTTTGTTAATCCTTCTTTTATTCTCACCAATTCTGGTGTGCGATTCCCTGGCAGTTTGTCCCATGTACACCTTAAGGCAATCGTTGCAGTTAATTTTGTACACACAGTCCCTAGTCCTTTCAGCCGGCAGGGGATCTTTTAGTTGCACCAAAACTGAGCGTGGCTGCTGTGCCACTCCTTTTCTTACTGGGTCTGGATATCGGAGCCAATATCTCTCTTAGTTGACGCCTAATCAAACTCACTGGGTATCCTATTTCTTGATGTTTGTTGGCAATCTCGATTTGAGCTGCCGTTCGGTCGATCACTTCTGTGCACAGCGCCCCGACTCGACGAAACATCGATGAGACAATGCTGGAGTACACGGACTTTGGGTGTGCTGATGAGTAGCTTAAGACGGTTCCTGGTTCCTGGTAGACAGTCGTTTTCAATTTCCCACCAACCTTATGTGTTATACAGTCCAGAAAGGGTAATATGCCCGAGGTGAATTCTATTTCCGTACTAAACTTAATATGTGTACTTAAACTATTGAGATGGTAGTGGAAGCTGTTCACGTTATCTCGTTTGATTACAACAAAGGTGTCGTCAAAATGACGCCAAAAACTTTCCGTGGACAATGATATCCGGCCAAGGCTACTTGCTAAGCTAAAACTGGGGATAGTGGAGATCTCATTGCAAGACCTTGTTCTTGTGAGTAAACAGTTGTGTCAAAAACAAACTGATCAAGATTCAAACACACTCTTATGCCCTCAACTATTTCATCCACCGAGAGCTGTGTCCGTTTTCCGAGTGTCGTGTCTGCCAGTAACAACCTCTTAGTTACCTCCAGAGAATTTGCCCTAGGGATGTTTATGTACATTGAGATTACGCCGTAACTCACGAGGACTTCGTCCATCTCCAAAGGAAACCCTGCGACCTTGCTGGCAAAATCGTACGAATTCCTAATGAAGGTGCTTGATTTTCCCGTGCGCGGTATCAGCTAAGAATCTGGCCAGTTCATGTGGTGGCGAGCATAAGCCATCCACTATTAGTCTTATCGGGACATCTGTCTTCTGGATTTTTGGTGGTCCGTAGAGTCGTGGTTGAATCGCATGTTTTCGGTACCACTTACCTGGCCCTAAATGGTTTATTACGGATCTCAAATATCTACCATTTTCAACCTTATTCCTATTCACCATTGAAGTAATACTGCTACCGGTGAAGGGAGGAAGGCCGTCACTGCGGAGTTGATTATTAGAAGACGCCAACAGTTACATACGGTTACAGACTATTGGACAGGAAAGCAAAACTCTCATATGCATCTTGTTTACAAAACAGAATATCCATCTTCTCCTTGAACGCGTCTTCTTGAACTTTGCTGGATATTCATTGACTGTTGCTCAAATGCAAGCAGATGCTACAAAGCGACTCCAAAAATTCCGTAATAGATCCCACTTTTCAAGAGTCGTGAAGCGTTTTTACGAGAAGACATACTACTCGAATGCCTCATCAGTAGTAGCCACAGTTACACCGGTAATTTGTCGATAGGGCTCATCGGCGAGGTGTTGCCCGACCTTTTGAACATAGTCACTTTTGTTCATTACTACTGTGGCTTTACCTTTATCGGTTCTGATAATGTCTCAGTGTGTTCAACGCTCTCCGCTCTGATGGTGCAGGAAAGATGCTCAACAAAAGGCTATGACACAAAGGTCAAGGCAGCAGTAGTCGGCTGCAGGCTGCCCATTCGGCCAACTTCTAAAGAAAGAACTGCCACAATTGTTCCAGGCTACAACCAAAGGGCCAGAAGACTGTGCTGGGTAGGAATCTATCCACAGACTAGCCTAGTAGGAGAGATTCTGTGGATTTTTTTGGAGATTTCGCCCTGTAAGTGGAGCCAATCTATGCTGAAAAGCCGAGAAGCACTGTACCGCTGTTTCATCCTTATTGAGAATCATCAGCAGTGCGCATCTCTCGATACTCCGGAGAGTCTCGAACCCGCAACCTTCTGTTTGAACACTTAACCGTTCGGCCACGAGTGGCTGATCAGCAGTGTGATTAACGCGCACTTAGACAGGACATAGCTCCGCTCATCCTTCAATCACGGGATTCATATCACGCGGTCACACGTGTTGATTGGCTCCTCGAGCAACGACTTCCTAGATGGAAGTTCAACTGATTGGGTGAAGTTTATTCTTCCACTGAGCTACTTATAGATTGTTGGTAGTGGATTCCGTAGATTCTGTGGATAATACACGAGCATCGTTCAGTACAGCCTAATATGTTACTGAAGTGCACAAGTCATCACACCATGATAAGTCCCACTCACTTCGCGACGGAGTTATAATCGATCGATCAGCCAATCGATCGTGTTGAAAAAGCAGTAATTGTGCCACTTTTTCATGCATTTGGTGATGGAATGCTGTTTCGGCGACCGACTGGTTACACTCGCATGAGAATTTTAGTTTTTTTCTGAGCCAATTTTGGTCGACACTTTTGTAGTCTCTTCCCAACGTAATTCTACAGTGTAATTAGGTAAAACATTTTTGGACATCTACAATACTCTATGCCTTTTCCGTCTCGATTAGCCTCGACAAAAGTGTTCAGATAGCCCGATGGAAGTCTGTACTAAATCTTTAGGGTGCGAGGTGGCTCAGTGGTTAGAGCGCGAATTTACTGACCGGAAAGTTCGCGGTTCGAACCCGAAATCTGCATCTCGACTTTCGCTGTCTAGGCCTGGAAAACCTAGCAGTATCCCAGCCCTTGTTCTTCGTTCGGGTGGCATGGCAGCTGGGCAGAGAAAGGGTGCTATAGCTGAACGATTTTTAAAAAAATAAACCTTTAAGTGAAGTGACCCTTATTTCGGGGATCGATCACCCCCAAGTTCTCATGATCCTTAACATATTGAGTCACACTTATTCTATAGGCATTAGTTAAGACAAAGAGCTTGGTGTATTGGTTTTCTCAGGACCATCGCTTGTGAATACTCCCAACACCATCGCTCGACAGATATAGACTTTAAATGAACTAGGCCTGAGTTTTACTCATATTGAATCCTGGTACTCGCCAAATATTCTTTGGTGATCGTTAAACTGGTTGTCCGACCATTTCCTAATATACAGTTTACTTAAAATGTCGATACAAGAACTAAACAAAGTCTATTTCTCTCACGTTCATCCACAACATGCCGATTTTTGTCCAGTCAACAAAAGATTTCAGCAACACTCAAGAATTCCACCACTAGTTTTGATACAATTCGTCTTAAAGTCAACAATCCTGACTTTTGTCAAGCATCCAGAACGTCCGAAAACTCACACCATCTTGATCCGGTGACCATCATTAATCCACCCCACTCGTTCTGGGATGATGTACTATTTTGGCGCAGTCAGCAGCTGGGCAGAAAAGACGTTTAGTCGCGTGGGAATGGCACAGAATGATGTCTTTAAGTGTTCCACGGCCCATGAATAATGAATACCATGGGAGGAGGAAGAGGGACGAATGCGGCCGGTGAATTGTGCCCGAGAAAACGACTACACCTTGTCCTTTCCGTTCAAATTGAGTTTGTTTGACCAACATAATTAAACTATGGCAAGTATAAGAAACGAAAAGTGAGTCCTGGGGGGGGATCCACTGTTCTTGAAGAGGAGTGTCCCGTCTGGTTGCATAAACATGTTTTCAAAACAAAATGATATTCATGCCACTGGATTTTTCCCGAATTTTTTGGCTGCTGACCGAACTGGGGTTGTCAGATTTGGGACCATATATGATTCTAGTTCTTTTACGAAGACATTAAATTTGGACTGACTAAATTTGAATGGAGAAGCTCTGAATTGCCGGACATATAAACTGAGCATTATGTCCTTACGATTGTGCCAGTAAGGGAAGCTTTCTGTGCAAAACCACTTTCAGTGGTTTAGAATCTGAACAGAGAGGGTTCTGAGTCCATAAGGATGCTGGAGAGAGGCGCGTGAATTACCGATGCTCAACTTCGAACAAAGCCAAACGGAAACCTAGATAAGACAGTTTGGATGAATAAGGTATCGTGACTCAAAGGAACAATTTAAACCTGTTCAAACCTACGTTGAGCCTTAAAATAATTTCTATACACAGCAAATGAAATGGATGTGTAAAGTAGCATGTTTTTGGGACACGACCTAAGATAACGCAGCAAGCATGGTTTTGGTGAACCTGTTTTTTACTTGGATGACACTCAAAAGAGGCTTTCCGTCCGCTGCGTACATGGGGCCAGTTAGACAAAAACCTTGAAAAAGAATCGAACAACAATGTTGTGCGACAAAGCGCTCAAATTTGGCTTTAATTCGTGCCCGGAATGGAGACGTAGAGTTCCTCTAGACAGCGGGCCTTCGTTAGACCGGCTGGAAATAAGTGCTTCGTTGCATTTACGGGAACATAGTTTTTCAAACCTGCTTTCGATCCAACTTCGTTGGGGTATAGATATAATAAAATGAGAAATGTGACTGCACTACTGTATCTCATATAAAGCACATCTACCAGCCAAGTGATGAAATGAATATGACATGAAGGAAACTACTCATAGGGCTGCTGAAAACCTTCCAACAGGTCAGCAGGTAGGTGCAGATCCCGAAGGTCTCTTCAGTCAACCTGATGTTTTACACGTACCTAAATTGCATAAAATCCACGAACCACCCTCATTTGCACACCAACTTGGTTTTGACCAGATATTGAATGAATCCAGCTGAATCTCTCGTTCATGATGTCAATTTCCGATTGAGTGAACATTACTCACAAGGTTGCTAAAACTCCTTGATAACCCACCCTTCTTCTTCATGCTCATCAGATTGGAGCGGTCCCCCAGTTTCGACGAAATTGTCGAAATACACACATTTGATTTGGTTTTGGGTAAAACTCCTTGATAACCCACTCTTTTTCTTCATGCCCATCAGATTGGAGCGATCCCCCAGTTTCGACTAATCTTATGTTCTACCGCAACCCAAATTGCACGAAATTGTCGAAATACACACATTTGATTTGGTTTTGGAGGGAGACCTCCCTAGAACCCAGCTAAATCCATCATTAATCATGTTCTTACTCTGCTGAATATGCTGCGCTAGGCCGCCTAATGTTTCAGTTTGTACGATATTGGAGATATCGCAATACATTGCATAGAAGTAACATGCTACTCAAAGGTCGCTGATATCTCTTTGACAGCCCATGACCGGTTTCGTCTTTCTTTGGGCTCTTCAGATAGGCGCGTCCCACGAGTTTCCGTCAACCTTAGGTTCTACTTGAACTCAAATTGCACGAAATTTACCTGTTCGCACACTAGCTCGGCTTTCCTGGACGACTCTCCTGAATTCAAGCCTTTCCGGTGAGCTAACCGATTTGTATTCTTCCTGTGAGGAGCACCACCATCTCGCTTTCCGGGATGAGATCGTCTAAACGTGGATAGCACAGCACCAGAAGTAACCAGCATTGACGAGAGCATCTTGAACACCCATCTTGGTACCCACGTTCCAAAGTAAATTTCACGACGTAATGCAGGCTGCGCAAGTCATGAGGCCTATCATTTATACGGAGCGATCAATCATGAGGTCTATTTTTCAGTACAAGGAGAGAACTAGGGAGTGTGGTTAAACCTGGATAGCTAAAGAGTGATAGAAGTTAGTTATTATATATATCCCAAAATAGTGGCGGCAGTTGGCGGGTTGTGTGTTCTGGTTGACAAGTAGGAGGTCTTGGATGCCAACGAATCCCAAGACACTCAGTGGAGCATGAATATTTGCAGGTCAAAAATTTCTCCGCCATTGTCATCGTGGGTCTCGCGTCTAAATCAACGTCACGATCTTGCACGAGGTGCCAGAATATGGTTTGTCAGCTACGCACAGTTCCGAATTTCGAATATGTAAGCAAAATCCTTGAAGAAGACACCTAGGTGCACTTTGATCTCCCCAGTGCCTGTCCATTTTTGATAGACCAGTGTTCGCAATCCCCCGATCAACTGACACTTGTGGTATACTCTATGGTCGTTTCAAAACTTTCCCCAAGATTACACGACATGACTCACGCCTCGTAACATCAACGCAGATGATCGAGTGCTATTGTGTCACGTGGTTCTTGGTCTTATCGAGACAGGCACGTGACACCGTTTCTTGTGCAGGGTTCGACTGATCAGAGGCAAGGATGAGCCGCGTTTAAGACAGAATAATCAGCTTTTCTTTGTAATGTGCTACTCGTAAGGTTGCTGAAAATCCGTCGACAGCCCACGACCGGTTTCGCCCTATTTGGCTCTCATCAGGTAGGCGCAGTCCCCGAGTTTCCTCAATCTTATGCTCTGCTAGAAACCAAATTGCACGAAATTAGCGAATATACACTCATTTGCAAACAAATTTGGTTTTTCGAGAACATCACAAACGAGAGATTCAGCTGGGTTCCAGGTGAGTCTCTCGAAGAACCAACTTAGTTTGCAAATGAGTGTATATCCAGCTTTTCTTTGTTTGAAAGTTGGTCCTTCCTCGATTTGTTGAAAACCAGCCTAAGATTAGATGCTCTAGCCTGAAAAAAGTTGGGAACACTTTGAATCAAATAGGAGTAAAAGGCTTGAAAACGGAGACTATGGAGTTTGGTGTTAGGTTTAGCTACTGTGGTCACCTAATGAAATATGTTGAAGTGAGGCACTTTCGAGCGAGACAATTGTAAGACGATCTCCATTATCTGGGACGTCATAGATTCCATCCTAATGTGTGGCAATCTGAGACAAATTGTTCTGGTTTGTACTACGCCTGCTCACCGCTGCTAAACCATGATTGATTCTCCGATTTAACGTGTCCAGTCAAAAATTCCTGAGCACTCAAACAATGTTCATCTTTTTTTGAAGTTCAACTTTTTAAATTGACTGTAACTCAGTAAAGACTGCGAGTTTTCCAGCTTTTCGACTGACCTGTGGTCCGATGGTGGGGCCATTTTTAATGGCTGCCGGGGCCGTACTGACCCTAGTTTTATTTCAGTAAGTAGTTGACACATAGAACCTTTGATTGCCCACTTCGTGACAGTTAACTAATCGGGTGCCACAACCCCAGTCCGGATGTTCTTAAACAATTATCACAGTTAAAGAATGAAATTATATTAGGCTATGAACGCAATTCTTCTGTGATTTTTTGTGATAACAAGTGTACCGTTGATCTACGCTTACAAACACGTTAAAACCCCCAAAAAAAACCGGCCGACCAATGCCCCAAACAACCGTCTGTTTGTCTTACAGTCAACTAGCTAATTCACCGTACATCACAACCAATGAACCGATGGATAAAACTGCCCAATGCCTAACGAGATGTTCCTTCCCCGTCGCCGTTCACTTGGACCGAAAAGTTCATGGTTATCCAAACTGCTACGGTGCTCTACAGGTGGTCTGTCAAGATAGAATGAGCACAGCGAGCACAGTGAGGACCGATATTCAATGTCCCCCCAGTTTGGTGACAGGAGAGATGTCAGCTAGTCGGCGAACTTGACGATCCTACAGACCAAAGACAACGTTTGAACTACACCTGTAAGTCTCACAGTTCGTGCTATTTCTGATGGATTCCGTGTTTTGTTTTTGAAACTATTTTTATATATCAATAACGATAGGTTTATGGGGACTGTTTTTGGTCAGTAACTTCTGACCAATCAAAGTTGTCATTGATTTTTTCGCTTAGCTGGGTGTTTTTTCAACTCTGAACTTGGGAGTGCACTGACGGCTGGCCAAACAAATAAAAAATTCGTATGCCACCTGGGCCCTTATCATGTTCCTTCAAACTGCATCGTCCTTTTATCTCTGATATACCTTATCTAACTGAGTTCACTTCATTGAGAATTATCAGCTTTTCGGGGACTACCTTCTGACGAGATACAAAGAGGCTCAGTTGCGAAGTTCTACCCCAACCTCCCGCCATCCAAAAGAAAGAGCAAGAACGCAAAACTTTTCCACTGCTCTTTCTTGTGTTCTGGAAGAAACCGGATTCATGACTACCTGCACTGATGTCACCTTTGTTCCTGTCGTAGGTTTCACCCAAAGTACGATTTGAGTTTGTTCAGCATACCGGCACATCGACTTAACCTTGTCAGCTTACCAACAGAATGTCTGAGGGAGATGGTACTACGTCGCAATGCATAGTCATGGGTCCTTTTGAGTTCCAACGCCTTCTATAGGATGGACCCGGTTTTCCGAGTAAAATATCTCATTCGTTAGTGAACAGATTTTGAAGTTTCAATGAAGGATTTCTGCCAATGAATGCGAGGACTTTCTTTCAAGATCCATAAATCAACCGCAACCTGAGGAATAAGACTAACTCTTTGTGTTACGACTCCCCTCCCAGTATCGGTTATTCAGTCACAAATCGTTACTCACCGGAAATAGATGCTTCAGTTGCCCGTCCCCTTGTTTCAAGAGATAGACACATTTCTGAGATGGAAAATCTAAAGGTTATCAGTAGCTGCACTATCCAGATAGCAGAGGAAACGAGGCCCAAAAATTCACCTGGATGTTTTAGTTTTTCTTGGAAAGCGTTTTGTCTATCTGAGTTACCTTTTTGCATGCGTGTCGCATCTGGTTGTACACCGATTAGAACCGGATGATCGAAGAGCAGTGAAACACTTCAATCATCCGAACATGAATAAAGTATGTTCCACCTTCCTTTGTTGCATTTTAAGTCTATAAAATAATCACCCATGGACTTTTTTGCCCGGCCAACACTTTCGGAGTGGAGAACAGTTTATCCGTCGAACGGATTAGCTTGGGTTTTGAGTACCACTCAGACAGATTTGTTCAAAGCCGAAATACCAGGTTGTTAAATTCGTGTAGAAGAGGAAAGTGTTTTATTCAACAAAAAAATCAATCAAGAATTATGTTCCGTCAGCGGACTCATTCATAAGATATTTTTAAACACTACTTAATTTTAACGCTATATGGATTTGCGCTGTATGTTTGTGGGGGGGGGGAGAGGATTCTCTACACTCATACCTTGTTGAGAAGTCAGATACCCAGCAAATAACATTTTTTCAAAATTAAAAATACAATCAAACCTCCGGACAACTTGCGACAATCCGCCCTCGACAACAGCTTTGGTGGGGTCGCTGCAATTCACAGCGAGACCGATATAAAGGATAAGGTTCAGGTTGTTCAAAACAACAAAGTAAAAATATGAATATGGATACACTTTAGATTACTGAAAAGTTTCGGGTTTTAATACTCTCTTCATCGTCTGACCGTCTCTAGTGACAGTTTCCAAACCGTCTCCGCACGGACCGGTGTACACAGAGATTTTACAGCAAATGTTTATTTGAGTTCGAATAAAAAACTTAAGAAGACTTTTTTGTAATGTACTACTCACAAGGTTGCTGACGTCGACAGCCCACTTTTTGCAGCAACCTTATGAGTAGTACATTACAAAATATACGTGTATCGCGATACCTCGAATATCGTGGCGACTGAAACATGAAGTGACCTGGTACAGCTCATTCAGTTGCCTGAGAACATCACAAACGAGAGATTCCGCTGGGTTTCAGGTGAGTTTCTCGAAAAAGCAAATTAGTTTGCAAATGAGTGTATATTAGCCACAGACAGATCTTCTCTATTTTGAGCCGGTTGGATGATAAGCGTTTGGTTGGCACAGTTCATGTGGCATCTTAGTCGGTCTGCCCTGATTTTTTAGTGCCATAGCAAATGATTCGTCACCATCGAACGATGGCTGAGCGTGAAATAGAATAGGTTGACCGTACAAACACAGTTATGCCATCTTGACTTCAAAATTCCCCAACCGGCCCGGACCGAATCGGAATCATGGTGCTAAAAAGCTCTGGTCAAACTTGTGAGCGTGTGCGGCTATAGTCACCACCGGCATAAAAACCCTTCCTCACGAGTTCTTTTTCCAACACTCATAAGGTTGTTTGAAACTCTTCGGAAAACTACGATCGGTTTCCGTTCTATCTGAAACCACATTTACACATTAAGTTAATGTTGACGGGAGACTTATTTGAATTTCAACTAAATCCCTCGCTTGCACTATTGTTCAGCTGAGTTTTCCGCACAAAAGTCATCTCTTGTCACACTTGCTGCAATGTTCGATACATCGCTGTGTATTTTCTTCAAGCAGTACTACTTATATGGTTGCTGATTAGCCACTACAGGTTCTCGCGTTGGTTACTAGCTATAAATATGACGACGTAAGGGAGCATTTAGAATTTCAAAAAGCACATTTCAGCATGAGCGGCAAAGTACTTTAGCCATGAGGAACAGTAATATCTGAATCGGGGAAAAATTCTTTCCGAGAAATACACTCATTTGCAAATCAATTTGGTTCTCACGGGAGACTCAATTGAATCTCTCGTTTATGATATCCTCCGGTCGTGGGCTGTCGAAGCTTTTTCAGCAACCATGTGAGTAGTTTCCTTTGTGAAAAAATTCTTTTCATTTTTGCACTGGTCTCCCTATTGAGGTCACTTTGGAGTTAAGGCACCGTTACTGCAACTTTAGCGCTTTTACTGAACAGGATAGTGTTTTATTTGTGAATTGTGTGGATCATTTTGACCTACTGAGCATCGTGATCGTGAGTAGCATAATTTCTGGATGTATGATTATCCGTTCCTTGTCACCTAAGCTACGGGGTGCCTTTTGGTGCTCCGTGTGCGATTAGTTCATCATTTGTCAAAATGACTGGAGAACGACGTCATAAAAGAGGGGGAGATTCGTACGTATTATCTTGCCTTACTACTTTTCTATCCGAAAACTGCATCTGGATGACAAATGACTGCCCTAATAAACTCCGACAAAAGCTAATCACAAGCACTGATGAAACAAGACAGTTTAACTTGATAAAGGACATTTCTCAGTACCGAGCATTTGACACACACGAGGACTGTGTTGTATCCGGGTGGGATGCGATTCGAAATCTAGCTTGGAAGGATGATTAGGTGTGATAAAAATTACCTGTGGCAGAATTCTGGCCTGCCATCGAATTTACGCACTCATTCAGGCTTCAGCTAACTGATTTTCGAATAAGACGTCCGCGGCCAGGAAGCTCACACCGTCTGAATGTAGTACAACTATCTATTGTGAAAGACCATAGTTCGTTTGGAAAATGTTACATTCAGTCAATCTTTTGAAGTGCACTACCCTGGGATGAAAAAATAAACTGGCAAAGGAGATAATAACATTTGGTCGATCTCCTTGGGTGGTCTCCCCAGTGTGACTCGCGTAATCACCACATCTTCATTCGTGCGCCTATTGTGGATGCATTGGTAAAGTGCATGATCCTACACCCTTGAAACCAGCTTATCAGTTCACGTACAGCAGAATGCCATTTGAAAAAAAACGAACGCCGTTAAACAAAAACTTTCCGCATCGTACACTTCACTACAACTGCCGTGAGAGTTAAATTGGTTATTTGAGCTTTGAAAAAGTCTCAACACCGCCGATGCTTAACGGTAATGGTGGACGAGTTAACCCAAATTTGCGCGGCATTTTTAAGGTCAAAACACTCGTTCGTCCTCTGAAACAAAGTCCCAGAATTAACTGCGTCTCAGTCGAGCAATCTTAAGCGACGGCTGTCTGGTGGCCGTCGGGCAAGGTAAATCAAATGACAGGTAAAGTTTCCCGGGAGACAACCGAAACCGAACAAAGGTCTTAGGCATGCTGGCACTTAAATAAATTACCAAGTTTTCAATTATGAGCACTAAAATTTTGGCAAAAAAAGCAAAATGCTAGTTTAAGCGAAGTGGAACAACAACGCTCAACGAATAAGCTACGGTTGATTCCAACCGGATTCCCGATAAACGCAAATTTGCGCTTTTTCGGCTAACGAAATTAGGAATTGTATGTGTTTAGTTCAATTTTCTATCCTTGGTCCTGTATACGTCACACCCGCCGGTTAACAACTTTCGGTGTTCAGCCTAGTGTTCTACTGTTGTCCTATAGTTGACGTTGTACCAACTGTCCTTGCCTAAGTATACTTCTGTGTGGAGGTATCAGCAAGACGGGGGAACAATCCGTGGTCTCTCGCTGTTGAGCGCCAATGTGTGAATGTGTTTTGTTGTAGGTTCATGTTAAGTGGAGCAAATATGCCGTTTTCGTTATGAAGGCCACCGAATCTCAACGCATGAGGAATCCATATACAGTGTCCTTCCTTCGGAATATTAGTACGAGCAGTCGTACGAACAATAACCTTTTGCAGCCTCTATCTCCATATCAAACGGTCCGCTACAAGTTGTGTGCAGTTATCCTGGAAGATACTTTTTTGTTGGTCGGCCCATCAACACCAGTTAAACGCATATTTTTACATCCTCATTGTTTAAGTCAAGTTCCGTGAACTAGGCAGAAATGGATTAACCAAGTGACACCTAATCAGTTCTCAGTTTTTCAAAAAGAATATATACATTTGTATATGAAGTTGGTTTTCGCGGGGGGCTCACCTGGAACACAGCTGAATCTCTTGTTTAGGATATATGATGTGTCGTGATATACAGAATATCGTAGCAACTGAAACATGAGGTGGCCTGGTGCAGTACATTCAGTTGCTTAAAAACGGGAGATTCGGCCGGGTTCCAGGTCAGCCTCCCGTCAAAACCGAATCAGTATGTAGTTGTCGAAATCTGTCCAATTTGGGTTCAAGTAGAACATAAGGTTGACGGAAACTCGGGGACTGCACCTACCTGATGAGCCCGAACTGGAAGAGCGAAACCGTTCGTGAGCTGTCGAAGTGTTTTCAGCATCCTTATCAGTAGTGTATTACGGTTATACTGTCCTCTGTTTGTTTGCCCGAATTTGTTCTTGTATGATGAAGATGTACGATGAACTGGGGGATTGCACATCACCTCTGCGGGATTGTCTAGGCAACCAGTCCTTTTGCTGAGAACTTCCTGGTAGAACATCATTCAGTTCTGCATCTAGAATGTTCATAATCCAGAAACAATTGCACCAAAGTTGGACGCAAAATATCTCATCCTAAAGAGAACTGCAGAAACCGCGGCGTCTAACACAGACGAGCCGTTTCAGACCAGATAAAACTGGGTTGAAACTGTTGTTTTGCGCAGAAACGTATCCAACACTGAACGAAGCTTCCGAAAACGCTTTCTGTGATTTGGCGATTATCTGGTATTCCGACTAAGAACTACTTGGACAGACAGACTGAGGAGGAATCGTGCTGTTTCAAAAACAGAGCAAAATCTGGGTGCTTTTTCATTTTGAGCTGGTGTCAACAATCGACAAAACTGACAGAATCTGTCAATGAACTTATACTGTGGACTTGACACAATGCATATGTTGACCTTAATCAGGCAATCGAACCCACTCTTGTTTGTTAATTGCAGTGTGGTCTGGAAATCCCTCACTCAGACGGTAATCGAGATACATTTTCGACAGTCCCCTACTCCTTCAGTAGGTTTTGTTCTCGAGGTTTTGTGTCATGATCTTAGTGAGACCCATGAAATTCTTACATAATTCGTCGTGAGCGAACGACCTTGAAATCTGATAAAACATACACTTGTTCGCTTGTGCTGGCGGACTGTACAAAGCCCCTGGAAAAATCGGTCTCACGTGATACTCAGCAAACAATATTGTAAAAGACGGAGACCATAATGCTTCCAAGAGAGTGAGCTGGTAAACGCTGACTCAGCTCAGTCCGAACGGGTCTGAGCTACTGACCGGGTGGTCTTTTATTGGCAGAGCCTTGTCGTGCTTATAAATTATTAAAGTGTAAGCGTTGGTGGGGAATGCACATTATCTGCACTATCCACCAGCAACCTAATCATCTGTACGTCTCATGGGCCGAGGAGCCCAGTTTCCAGACAGTTCTTCTGTTGTGGACTTTTTGAACACATGGTCCAGACAAGCACTGACTATCAGAAAAACATGCATTCCTTTTTCTCGAAGGGATGCAGCTTCAGCTGAGATCACTTAATACTAAAAACTACAGAAGAATAATCTCACGGGTCAAGGCAGTTCGGATTAGTTATTCCAGTAGTGAGTATGCCAACTACTGATAGTGGTATGCTAGTAGTAGTTTGCCAACTATTCACTTGACTCAACAGTGCACCAACTGAACGAAATTATGGCCCAAACCGAAAGCTGGTAAAAAGCACATTCTACCAACTCCTAACTCCTCGATTACAATCAACGACATTCAGTTTAAAGGGTGAATTGGATCATGGGAGGTTAGCACACTCTATCAGAAGTTGCTTAAATCCTTGGGGGTTTCCAAAATGAAGAGTAAGATAAACTTAACAAAAAGGGGAGGTTTTTGCTGGCCGATTAGGAAAGACTGTTGCCAGAGGTTCACCTGAGACCGGACGCTTAATATTGGCTCCTGTCTCGTTCCGTCCATTTGCCAGGCAAACTTGCGACTTTGCGTTTTTGATATTCCATCGAAAACAGGATGATAGCGAAAAGTTCTGAATACCCGCTTTTGAGGTAGTTAGTGCGTTACTCAGTTTCAACAACTGACTACGGTAGCTCCATATCTTTGTCAGTCGTTTTATGATTTAATGCATGGGAGAAAAATTCGTCGATAGTGCAAAGACGAGTCACTACTGGTCTGATGAGCTCAGCGCAAAACCTTACAACACGGCTGCATGTAAGGAGAGGTTTTTAGGCTACTGGTAGAAAGAATGAGATAGCAGGCTGATAAAAGTTTCCACTGAGCCTTCCTTTAGAACCCATGGGGTTTGCACTTCCGTGAAGTTGTCGAGTTGCGTCCCAATCGGTGTCCGAATAGAGAAGCCGGAGGTCACGCCTATTTGATAAGTCCCGGGATTGGTGAAGCCGCTTGTGGGCTGTCAAAGAGTTTCCATCACCCCAACAAGTATTGTTTCTTCAAGACTAACTCCGTTTCCGACAAACCAGTGACCGACAGAAAGAATACAGAACAGTAAGGATTGTGGTGTGTGAGAGAATCCGAACGAGTCTGGTCACTAGAGTTAAAATGTGTCACGGTCGACGTGTCACGGTCGAACAATCTGAGGGCGTTTGTTTCAGCCAAAAACGAGAGGCGAGATTTTACTAATTGTGGTCGGTCCAACTATGTACTTCAGATGACTAAAAATTGTGCACAAAGTTTTACCTCGCGATGTGTATAAATGATGGACTGGCCGATCGCATTGCTTTTTGATGTGAAGTTATGAGACCTCATTTTGGGTGGTGAATAGTCTGACCTTATGGCCACGTCGAAGGCACCGAAGCCCACGAGAAGAAAAAAACTGGCTTGTTGTGTGCGCGAATGAGTATCCGGTTTTTCACAATGAAGAATCGCAAAACTCTTTGAGTATCCCATCAAGTTCCCTATCCCGATGTGTCCCCTCAACATCAGTCTTTTTCAAATGCAAGCAATCGGACAAATTCGTTCCCAACTCCGTTGGTGCCAGAGCCTTCGGTGACCCCAGCTGATCAACATTTTCCTTTAAATAAACAGCTTTTGATCACAGCTCTTAGCATGATGTTCAATACCCGACATTAAATTTACGCATCCTTTTTTCTTCTCCGATGTTTTATCTACTTATCTGACTCCGCCGTAATTTCGCACACTGGACGTTCATCCTCGGGTGAACAAGACTTTGTTGGCTCAACTTGAAATTTTTAACCGACAACATTCACATATAACGGTCTGCTCAGAGTTTTGAGTTTAGCTAGTCGGTTGACAGATATCATCGAGATGGTAGGCTGAGGCCATCTTTACAGTTGTGGAGAAGTTGTGTCGAAAAGCCATCCCCTCCTAGATGCTTTTATCCGTCCGCCAGTTGCTGGACGGCTGTATAACAAACAGCAAGTGCACTGAAATATGAACAGTGCACAACGGTTGTTTCCCTATTCAGGGGTACGAAACTGTCAGAAATATAGTACCATCCTCATTCCGGTATATCGACAGATTTACTGCCACACCTTGATGCCCAGTGTGACTTATATCTGGGAAGTAAAACTTATGTTCGACAACTTATGTAGGACAACAAATCTACCACTAGCGAAATACACTCATTTGCAAACGAATTTGGTTTTGCGAGAGACTCACCTGGAGCCCGGCTGAATATCTCATTTGTGATGTTTCCAGACAGCTGAATGTGCTGCACCAGGCTGCCTCATGTTTCAGTCGCTACGATATTCGAGATATCGCGATAAATGTGTATTTGTAATGCACTACTCATAAGGTTACCGAAATTTCGTCGACAGCCCACGACCGGTTCGCCCTTCTTGGGGCTCACCAGGTAGGTGCAGTCCCCGGGTTTCCGTCAGCCTTATGTCCTAATTGAAACCGAATTGCACGAAATTAGCGAATATGCACTCATTTGCAAATTAATTTGCTTTTTCTAGAGACTATCTACCATTAGTTTATCAGCGATCACAAATGACTCCGTTTGCGGATCACACAACCTGTGGCTTCTCGCCTTGATTTCAATTTTTTTTATCTAACATATCGGGACATTTTGACGTTGTTACGCCTGAACAGAAAATATGGAGAAAATATGGAGACCTTCTGTAGATAGTATGGTTGAATTAAAATCTTTGATTCATCTGCATAGAGATAAGAAGTGATTTCTAATAGGTGCTGCAAACCTGTTTTGATGCTACCAAATCGGCCGCGGAACCTCACCCTGGATTAAGCGGTTATTTGTGTTGCTTGTGGATAACCCAGCGCAAAACAGCATAAGGCCAACAGGCGACCGAGTAGTTTCGAATTTCTTACATTCTGTTCGCAAATAAAGAGAGATACATGTTTTTTAAAGGTCAGAATCTTTGAATTCAGAGTGGAATTTACATTCAGATCAAGAAAAGCATGTAAAATGAAAACTCAGACTACGGACTTTGAATCCCAAATAATTTTTATGCTGGGTAACTTGTTGTAATCGGGGAATTATGGTTTTCAAACTTTTAGTCACTTGATTGAGTCTTTTACGCCTTTTCATTGCCCAATAATCACATCAGCTAAGCAGTTTTAAAACTCAAATTAATTTGATGTTCTCTAATTTGAAGACCGTTCAGTCGACTGATAAATACTAATCCGGAGATATGAAAAGCTTGTTTCTGTGGGCAGATGAAGTTTAAACGTCGATTTGTGTATTGGATTTCTGAATGGTTCTTTCTGGTCACACCGCGAATTTTTGAGCTTCTTATCTGGTTATAATCAATCCACAGTGGCTAGAAAAGCATTCGCTATCTCCCGCCCTTTCCGGTCTCCTCCCACGCACACACGATGCAGTCCCGGTACGCTGGAATGACCTATTTTGATTGACCTTTTTTTTTGAGATTCTTACAACTTCAGAACAACCATTTTTTCCCTAGAAAATACTGTTGATCTGAAATCAAACTGAAATGATGCTAAACAAAAATAAAACGTAGCCCGACTTAGTACGGTTCTAAGTTTGCATGCTTGAGGAGAAACGGAAATGGTTTTCTTCAACTTAGTCTTGGGTTCAGCCGGAGCTATGTACGGGTCATTGGGAAAAGAGTTCGCGGGTAATTTTTTCTCTTGGCATCCAAGTCACACAAGCTCATCAATCGCTTTTAATTATTCCGTGGTTGAGTAGACCGCCTTTATCGATTTCCAGCACACTGGATGAACCAAAAAAGCGCAAAGTTATTTTTTTTATGTTTAAGGACCTCTGCTCGCAAACGAAAATGTTTGTTCCAATTTGAAAAACCATGCTTTGAAAGAAGTAAAATAACTGCACTTTCCTGTGCTAAGGCCGTGATCTCAAAGCAAGGAATTGGTTACTTAGCCTAAACCCTATCTGACGGTAACGTGTAGTTTAATTCACCAACGGACGGTCAGTAATAATTGCGGCGAAACCGAATTCTACGAACTTCACCTGCGTTTGTTTAGTAGTTGCAATTAGGCAGTGAACAATATATTGAATTGCATGTGGGCAGACAGTATAGATAGGTAGACCTTGGTTCTATAGGAAATTAACAGTAAATCGTGAGGGGAATTAAAGAAAGGCTTATGGCTAGATTGAACCTTGGGCAGTTAGCAACACAGGATGGCAGACGAAGGGCAGTGTGCTATCTGACAAATTAAATGGGAAAAATGTTGTTCAGTTCAAAGTGGGCAACTTTTCAACAACAAGCCCAGAAATAAATGTAAACAAATCGTCTATAGAAAAACGGTTGAGGCAGAGTCAACTTTGTATAAAATAGAAGGGTTCAGTCTTGAAACTTGAGTAGTCACCGGAGGGGTGATGAGTCAGTCTGAGGAATAGGGAAACAAATAATTACGTCACGTAATTAACAATAAC